AAAGGAAGCAATTTTCTTAGGAGTCTGTTTGAAACGGTATACCATGTGTGAACAAATCAGGAAAAGGAATAGAGTCACTTTCTTTAGACTCATTCAGTTGCATATGTAATGCCGAGTGCGAGCTACTGAACTCCATAAACAAGCTTTTTTGCAGCACAGCAGCCAAGAGAATAGGAAGCTCACTGCTTATTGACACTGGGCAATAAAAGACAAAGATGTCAAAGATGCACACATACATTTACAGTTTAATTAAATTCTTTTTATTTCCTTTAAGTTTGGGCTACATGATGAGGGGCAGCTCTAATTTCAAAATAGGCTGACTTGAAGGACTGTATTACAAGCAGCTAAACCACTTCTGCATGCAAGTGAGGTCAGTGCAGCTTCTGTGCTTCTTGTTTTAGCAGCCCTAGCCAACTAATCATGTGGGCATGTATGAGTGCTCTCTTCATGAAGGAGTTATAGGGAAGAGACAAACAGTAAGGAACATGCCACTACCCAGACTCCTAGGGCCAACCAATGCACAGGGGTTACAAATGGGAAGGAAAACCACAGTCCAATAGCTGTGTAAATTTGCATGCCTAAGCCAAGTTACTTTACAAGTGCAGCCAATGGCAAGTATTGTGGGTCCGACTGAGAATAACTTATTCACACTTGTTTTTTAATTAATTCCTCTGTGAGACTTGTGTGATCTGCTGCGGAAAGGAAGGTGCTGTACAAATACAATGACAGTTGCCACCACCTGTGCCTATTGACATGCAATAGCACATGCTATGATTACCTGCAGACGACCACACCCGGACACAATCAGTCTGTGTCGAGGTAAAGTCGTCCCCAGGTAATTGCAACATGTGCAGAGGAATTCTTGAGACTCATGAGATCTGCCCCATTCCCAAGTGTTAATGGGGCCTTAAGCTGGCCATACACCTAACTATTATCTGCAGATTTTCTGTGGTCAGATGGAAAAGGGGCAACAGATTCCTCCATCTACAATGTGTGGATTGAGTAATCTCCACCTGGGCCAATCTGTTGCACTTTTTCCATCTGACCACAGAAAATCTGCAGATAATTGTAAGGTGTGTGGGCAACTTAAGGCAACAATTGTTCTACCCAAAAATGTACACGTTTGCTAAAGGGTAGTAGTGGTGACTATAGCCAAAATAGTGGCAGGTTTTCCATACCCTTCAAATTTCCCGAGAAGACAGAACATTCCTTTTAAAATCAGAAGCCCTAATAGAGCTCATTCATGAGAACATGCTTTTAAAAACAGACTGAAAAGATAAAAAAAAGGGAGAAAAAAATGTACATTTTCTCCTTATGAAGCAACATTTAATAGTTTGCGACTAACTATGCTTTTACAGGAGATATCATCAGTAATTTCCTGGATGGGAATGTGACATCTAAATAATAGATTTAGTCTGAGATACTCCTGGCTAACATCCTAATGTAAAAAGAAGAAAGAAAAGGCCATTAGCGGATTAGAGATCTAAAATCAGGTGGAATACAAAGCTAATTTATATCTGGCAAAGCTTCACATGGTAGCAAGACAGATATGCCGATATACTTCAGTGGCTCACAGATTTAATACTGAAGATTCAAATCTTCTTACTGTTCGGGAATATACATGAACTGATGGGTTTTACATACAAAATTTTACTAACTCAGCTGGATGTTGTATGTTAACCTGATTTTAATATGTTTTGCTTGTTGGTAGAACACAACTCCGGGCTGCTAATTGTACCCATGCAATGCCCCTCTCCGTCTCTTCCTCTTCGCTACATGGGTTAAATGCTCATTTGTCTAGGAAGTAAAGGAATGGATACAAATACATACCTTATGCCTCACTCTCCCATTCGCCGGCATTCTCCTCTGCTGTCTGATGCTGTGGAATGTGGGCAGGCCCTTGCCGTCCTCCCATACAATGCAGGACTGTTGGTTCACCACACACGTTACAATCCGCCTGTACAATCTCCTTTAGATCTACCAAGAAGTATGTGGTACAAGGGCCTGTCTGACTGGATATAAATTGATTGGATAGATTAGGTATGCCCTTATATTATGCAGCACTGGGAAGTCTAAAGTTGATGGTACAAAGATTGTATGCTCCAATTGTAACGTGAATGGTGAGCCTAAGGATAATTTACACCTCTGTAAAATCAAAGAACTCTCACTAGTTGCATTGAAAATGGAACTGCAGAGCCATACTACAATATACAGTCATTACTGTCAAACCTTGCAAGACAGAAAAAGTAGCAGCATTTAAAAAAAAAAAGAAGTTTTAAGTTTCTTACATCTCGTAGAGATTCCTGTGCAAGCGAGCGGAATGACAAAATCACTCCAATGATGGTCATCCTCTTCAAGACACTGTCAACTGCTACAGTCAATGATACATAAAACAAGTTAAGTTAAATGTTTTATTATATACCACAAGCACAATAAGGAAGCAAAAGAGCATATCTATAAAGCCATAAACATGACATTCACCGAACATTCAATCTAAAGCATGTGCACCAGGAAGATACACCTGCAGTGAATGTTTGATGAATGTCACATTAACTGCTTTACAATATGCCCTTTACTAAGGATTTATTTTAATATGAAAAAGTGTGTATATGTGTATATATATATATATATATATATGCCACAAACAACTTCAATCAAGAATTTTGAGGGCTCGAACAGGAGTAATCTAATAATTTACCCAATCAATGAAATCAGTCCATCTAGTAACCATTACACCCATATTACCTCCCACTATTACTCATTTAACGATAAGGTTACTTGTTAAATGTAATTCGGACAACAGATAGACAAGGATTGAACAATGCTTCGTACACAAAGCAGGGAGATGCTGAACATAGAACAACAGTTTCCATATAGGCATGGACAGGTCAGAATGCATTTGGATACACAGTCACTTACAAGACAGTCGCTTAAAAAGAGCTTGCATTTGTTCTGGTTTGTCGAAACTTGTCCTCATCTGCGTTAAGATATCAACATTCTCCACCACAAGTTTCTAAAAGAAACAGATTTCTGTATGAATGTATACATTTGCAGTATTAAAAGAAAAGTGAAAAAACACTGTAATGCACTGATAAAGACTTTTTATGAACTCTATTAGGACACTAACTACGTCATTAACTACGTCATTAAGAAACTGGGCATTTATTTTAGATTGTGCCCACCTAGAATCTAACCAATAAAAGGAGTTTCACGTAATGCCAAATGCTTTTATTTCATACATGCCACAAAGGCTTGTTTTCCATTTGAAGCCAACTTGTCACCAAAGATGGCTAAGCAGATGTCATTCTAGTCTTCCCGAGCAGGAGTCCTGAGTTTATTTACCATCATGGGCATTAGTGGAATATGCATAATCTCCTCATGGGCATTTCATTTTGACTGTTTCGTCCCAGTCAAAATAAAAAAGAAGGCCATCAACGGACATATTTTTACTAAACAGATGCTTGCGTGTGTCACTGTAGCCGTGTTAGGGACATTAGACTATAAGCTGCCTTGGAGGCAGGAACTGATGTGAATGTCCTTCATTCCCTGTAAAGCCCTGAGGAATTGGTTGGCACTACATAAATGAATCCACACTGAGCCTCTGTCAGGCCACTTTATCTATACTGCTTAATCTTTAAAATGTAGACAATTCATCCTACCAGTGTGGATCAGTTCAATGCACTATGCAGTCTATTTGTCACCCGGAGAAGGGAATTAGGGTTAAAATACACAAATATACATTATATGTATATGTGTTGTATTACATGTAGTAATAGGTCTGCTTTAAAATGTAGGATGCAGACCTTTAAAGAACTTGCCTGAAGTGCAATCAATGCCTAAGACCTGTGCTAAAGAATTTATAGCCAGGCACAAGACAGCTGGCAGGCAAAAAGAAAAAGGACATTTATGTAGGAACATATCCACAACTGAAAGACACATTCTTCAATAGTAGAGTCTTTTAGAAGCAGAAACGAAGGTCAAATATAATATTGACAAGAGAATTGTTTAATTAAGGCTAAAATGACAGCAGCTTGGCCCATGTCTTCTGCTGAAGAATTTGCTTCTACCTAGCCTTTTGTAAAACAGACAAAAAGAACATTTTACATCTCTGGCAGCCATCATGGTATAATTCCAGCTGAAACTCCAAATTAAAAATGTATTTTAGCCTAAATATTTTTTTTTAAATAAAGACATATACATCTTGGGTGGCTGACCCACACCACAAACTGTAAAGATCTAATAGCTAAGGGCTTACACAAATTTTTTTCTAGTCTGTTCATAAAGCATTTTAGTTTTAGTCTGCAACTGAAAATAGAGGCAAATGTAGAACTTCAGAGAGATCATGAATCTCAAGGTGCTGATAGATCTTCTTTCTTGGTGGACAATCAAAGACTGATATTGAGCAATGTAGACAGCAAAGCTGGACATGTTCATCTTTGATTTAACTCTTCTTGGACGCCCAACAACATAGATTGCACTGACATCACCATTGCTAGGCTGCCAAAATTTGGGAACATCTTAGATAAGATAAAGCAATGTTCTCCAGAGAATTGCGGAGCACCCACAAGGTCTACCAGCTCTTTGCTTTGAAAAATTCTGTTGCCAAACACTTTTACTGGTAGGAAAAAAAAAATAACTTGGAAACACGTTTGAATTTTCAAAGCTTCAAAATGCTCCTAATTGCTCTACCTTAGAACAGTGCATTACTCAGGTATGAAAATAACACTTGAACCTGCCACAAAAGTTCCATATTAAAAGTCCTAATAGTGTAGCTTCAAAACCAAACGTGCATTGAATATAACAGAACACCACATTCATCAGCAAGAAATATGGTTCTTGGTACCTTAAGTTCAGCCACTTGGGAGGAAATATGCCACATGAGACTTTCACTGAGGAACTTCATGCCATATGGTCCCAGCAGCTCTGACAACGCTCTCATCTCTGCAAGTAGATCACAATTTATACAATACTGAAAACTATGAACAAAATATTCTTACAACAAATGGTCATAAAAAGTCACAATTTACTTAAAGGGGAAGAATAGTGTATTCTCAATCCATGCATATTTTACGTTATTACAGCAAAAACTCCCAGCCCCTACTGCACACCACTTGGACCATTCATTCTGATGGCTAGCCCGTATTTCATGGCGATCCCCAGCCATCCACAGTAGTACAGACCAAGCCATAAGGAATGAAAGGGCAGAGTGGCCGAAAACGTTTGGTGTGAACACTTTGTGGCGACAGGCTGTGCCCCACAGTAAAGTTCTCAGGGCGGGGATGAAGCCAAGTACGTTATTAGGTGACTCACACTCTTGGAGTTGGGAGGAAACTTTAAATGAGAACTTCCATATTCTTAGTGCCTTAATAGCTGCCTGCTTAATCAATAGGAGTGTGTGTGAGGCGGGTAAAACCTAAATCACTACAAGTCAATGCTGGTGCTTTGCTCAGTGACAAAGACCGACATTCAGCTATAGTAGAAATGCATTAAAAAAGGTACCTGCACTTTATACCTGCTAGAAGCGCTTTCTTCCCATAGCCACTGCCGGTCTAGACAGGTTTCCTGATGGTGATAATAGGGGACCATGCCTGTTGAAATGGCCACATTGTTTTCTCTTTCAGAAACCACTGTGAGAGTAACAGTGCAGGGGCACAATTATAAAAAGGCAAGGACAGCGCAATGTCACCCTATGACAAAGTGCCCATGCCAGGGCGACCAGGTTTGCAATGAAAGCTGCAGATTTAAAAGTTCTAAAAATGTCTTTAGAAATTACATAAACATGTTTCAACCTACATGTATGGGTTTAAATATACTTCAATCTTACTTCATATTTCAATGCGCAGCTAGATTGGTTTTGGATGTCTTAGAAAAACCTTTAACATTTCATGCAAAAATGGACATATAAATTTATGGGGGTGTTCTTTATATTCAACTTCTCTAGAAGTCACTTTTGTGTAATTGTTTACTTTTTTCTATACAGAACTTGAGGATAAATCTTAGACATTGCCAGCTCTAATGTTTGGTGCACCAAGCCTTCTTTTCATATGTGAATCATTAAAACTGCTAAACAGTAAGTCAACACGCTCATCTCACAAACCGGTATGAAACATACATGATCCAGCTTCCTCCCAGCTGCTCCAATCTTATCTCACTCACCAGATATGTCTGAATACTCCTCTGCATTAAAGGTTAGCTCATTCTCCGTGGGCAGATTTACAAAGGCTTTCATTGCTGGAAAATAAGCTATGTGGCCATTGCTAACTTGCCTCAGTAGTGTCTCCAAATACCTAAGAGAAAGAATATGACATGGTTAACATGGGTATTTCTTTCTTATTAAAGTAGATCTACAGTGGAAATTCAACTTTGGTTATGCACAACTGGCTTATCAACAAATGGAACTGTACCCCCTGGAACATGAAGCATGGTCGGAATGAAAATAAATCATGCACACTGCAAAAAAAATGTATTTTAACACTTCTAGGCACATGGATGTTTAGCGATCAGTGCAGAGATGGCAGGACTTACCCTACATAGAAAAAAAAACTTACATTTACACAATATAAAACACATCAACCCTTTGCATTTTTCATTAAAAAGCATTTATGAAAAAAGAATGTGTTATGTTCAAGAGTAGAGTTTGACTTCACCCACTCCATATAGACTGCCGCTCAACATTAGGGCATTCCAAAGTGATCATAACATCCAAGAATCCTGCTATGCTGAAAACATGTGGAGACAGCAACCCTCCCCCACCCCCCGGCTACATTGAACACATCTGAGTAAAAACCCTGACAAGACTTAAAGTAAACCATGCCACTTCTCTTTATGATGGACACTGGCAGAGAGAGAAGAGGACATTCACCAGGCAGGATATGGTTATGCCGCCGGGCCCACTCCACTCTCGTGCAACTCTCGGGCTCTCATTAGTGCCCGACACCAAATTGACTTCAGTCATTTTGGCGTTCCCCCCCCTGCCCCCCCCAGTTACGTCACTGCTCCTGCAGTAAGGAGGTGGCAAGGGAGCATGAATCGGTAAGTATATCCTTCCAAGGGGGCTATAAGAAGAAGGCACTGTCTAATTTCCATGGGTGGGCAACAGTTTCTCTATGGAAAAGAAAACCTTCTGGAGTATACTTTATCCCTCCTTGTTTTGAAATGTTGATTGACCTTAACCCGGACAACACTGTATAGATGTTCTAGATTATCATTTTAATGGGCATTAAAGTTACTATATGCTGCATGTATTTACAATTTATACATGCAGATATCTCTTGTTTTATTTTATTCTTTAACATGTTGGACTACAGGTGGTTCCTCAGATTTCACATTGTAAAATGTTATATTTCCCCCCATTTCTTGTATTCATATAAGCAATGTACATAATACAAGATATTTATGCCATTACTATATCACCTATATAATCTAATGCTGAAATACACATTTTTCTTTATTAACAAACATTTGACAAAGACAGCCAAAACTAAATACCTACATCTGTCAATTAACAATGCAATAACAAAAGATGTGGAAGTAAAGAAAAAACATTAAAAAAAAAACATCCTCCTTGCTTCTGCCTTGTACACAGAACATTCCAATTTTGAAGTTCTGAGAACGTTTGATAAGCTGACATTTGTTGGAAAGACGTCAGCAGAGCAATACACAATTAAAGTTACACATCAAGCAAGGCATCTCCAGACTTCAGAATCTGTCAGTGTGAGTACTTACCAATTAGTGTACAAACTGGTGATTGTTGGCTCTCCGTGGCTGTCTAGATGTTGTGTTTGTTGAAGCAGAACATTGTTAAAAACTCTTGTGATGTCAATCTGCACATAATTTTCTATTGACTGGAGCACAGTCATGTAGGCTCGTACGCTAGTTAATAACTCTGAGGGTTTTGCAATCTCTTGTGTGGCCTGATTGTACATGGTCATGCCAACAATAGACCTGTGTGGTGGACAATAAATTAAAATATTAGCTAAATCTCTAAAGCATGAATGCCAAAACCAAAACACAACATGAGGGGGAAAAAAAAAAAAAAAGACATTGCTCATTGTTCAGTGGGCAGCATTAATAAAACGGCTTCTCCCAAGGCTCAGTTTATTTAACTATGCAGAGCATGTTAACCCTGTAGTCCAATTGCAGTGGATAAAACTTATTGCGTTCGTCTACAGCTGCTACCAGCCATATCGAGTGTGGGTTGGTAGCAACTACTGTGGCAAAAGAGAAGATGTAAACACAAACTTCTAGGCTGGAGGTCCCCGTGTAAGAAACGCCAGTTTATTAGTAAAACCGGTACTTTATTATGCAGGAGATGAATACAGTATAACCACTGAACTGAAATACAGATCACGGAAGTGATCCTGTGGCTGGGCTATGGACATTGGAGTATTTAGCTATTTAGAGAGACCGTCACCTTGCCTATGCAGGGGGAAAACAAAGTGCATTTCTGAAAAGGCCCAGCCCTCCCACCCATACTCCCATTGCAAGCATTACCTCCACACACCTTCCTCTTTCACAACTGGCACTAAAATCACTGGTGTAGGCGACCAGGGTGGGAGCGGGTTTTGGCATTAATGCGACTCCCTTGGTCATGTGACAGTGCTTAGGCCCAGTAATTGGCTGCTAGGCCTAAGCACTGTCAAATATAAGGTCACATGCTCCTTCATACCAGGAAACACCAGGTAGTGTTGCTAGATGTGACAGAGGAAGGAGCGCTGGCAAGGTGGGGGAAAAAACCCAAACACCTCACTTTTGCTAAGGTGACAAGAAATAAACAAGCTTTAAAATAAGCCTTACTGACCTCTGCAGCTGTTGTGAACTTTAAGCAAAAATTGCTCCAGTACCTTAAGCTACAGGAGGTCAACAAGGGCTTATTTTAAAGTTCATTTATTTGTAAAAGTGACACGAGAAAAGCATGGGGCTGCCAATGCTTGTCTGCTTGAAATTCTAGTAGTCTTTCCCTGGCTTTAGTACTTTTTGAGTCACAGGCCCAGAGCAAACAGCATGTAGTTTCAGAGTTCCTCATCTCTACCTTTGTTTCAGGTCAGAGACTCAGAAAGCAATGAAGACAAAACATTAGCAAGGGATCTAACATACTCAATGGAGAGGTCAGCAATAGCAGCCCCCATTCTTTACTCATGAGTCACATTAAGGAAGTGTAAATATTTGAATGTTCATAGCCTTGCCATAGAATCACTTTAAGAGCTTATATTTATAAGGAAGGGTAGCACTATGCAAAAAGGAGCGGATATGTGATATTTCCCACACAGACTTCGCCAAATACCACACTGCAAATGTCCATCAGATGCTGCAATCACTGTTGTTAATGCTGCTAAACTAACAGCAACAGAGATTAAAGTCCAACATGCAAACCTTTAAAATCAGTCTATCACTAATCTAACATTCATTCTCATTAGTAATCATGTACAGGTGAAACTCGAAAAATTAGAATATCGTGCAAAAGTTTATTTATTTCACTAACGCAACTTAGCCGTTGTGACGGACTCCCTGGCACCCCGACATTCCCCAGCATTGGCAATACACAGCCTGGATTTGTCACAGCCGTCTACCAGGAGATTTTGGAGCACTTCATGCTTTCTTCCGCAGACGAGCTCTGTGGGGATGCCGACTTCATTTTCCAGCAGGACTTGGCACCTGCCCACACTGCCAAAACATTTTCTGAGATTGTGGATCTGGGTTTTCATGAGCTGTAAGCCATAATCATCACAATTATGACAAATCACGGCTTGAACTATCTTGCTTTGCATGTAATGAGTCTATCTCATATCAGTTTCACCTTTTAAGTTGCATTAGTGAAATAAATGGACTTTTGCACAATATTCTAATTTTTCGAGTTTCACCTGTACACAGCTGTCCTTTGTTCCATCAACCAAAACTATAAATCACAGCAAGGCATGTGTGTGTTGTTTTCGAAGATATAGAAAAATACGAATATCATTTGCTTCCAAAAGACAAATTCTAATGAAAGTCTTGCAATCTTTATTTCAACACTTTAACATAACTGATTGCTCACAAATTCCAAATTTTTTTTTTAATCTCAAACATTCTTAACTATTTATTGAGAAAGTCCAAATCTCGGATTTTAATTTTAGAGAAGTTAATAAAACTTTGCATGGCGTAGCAAATAACACTTACTTGGTAAAGCGAATTTCCAAGTGTGAGGTCAGATACTCTCTTGGCGTGAACGTATGTTCCCACACCACCATATTTGGTGCATAATTAATGGAGAAGCAGAGCTCTGAAAGTGCTGTATGCAGCTTATCCAAACTAACAGAAAAAGGATAGAAAAGGAAAAATCGGTCATCATAATATACTGCAATGCAACGTTATCACTCGGTTTCCTGACAGATTTCTAGAGAAACCCTTTAGGCATGAAAAATGTAATTTATATCTTGGATGCACGCACACGCATGTACCCACTGTGTCTTCCTCTCCCTCACTGCACCATTGCAAAGAACAGAACTCAGCATTAATGCAAAAGGCCTAACAACCCTTAAACTGGTGCACACTATGCCAAATGTGTCCAGTTCTTCATGAAATAAACGAAATTTGCACAATGGGTGCCGCTGTGGGCACCCTTCGATCAGAAGACAGAAGTAACCGGCCGAAAAATCTTCAAACAAATTGTGCTTGCAGTCAATCTGCAAGCACTGTTCACGAATTCTGACAGGGGCCGGCGGCCGCTGTCAGAACTCAAAGGAAATAGCAGGGGATTCCTCGATTAACACTTGTAAATGTTGATGGAGGAATCTGTTCTATTTTTGTCATTCAGCCTGCAGTTTGAACAGAAAAACAGAACATTGTATGGCCAGCTTCACTGATTCTTCCAAATGTAGCGAGTTCCATCAACCTGCATGTGGCACACTGTGCCCTGACAGCTGGCTGCAGGGGTTAGCAAATATTCATATGCAATACTTCATAGTTACTACATTTTTAACTGTTGCAAATATTGTCTACACTGTATATTACCTTAAAGCTGAACTTCAGCCCTACCTTAGTTTTGCACAGGCTCCATTCATGTGCTAAAATTGCCTCGACTTCACTGCACACCGATGATCTTACTGTGTGCATTAGAAACTGCAGCATGTTAGATAAGAGTCTGCCTCATTTCCTGGCTGTAGAGCGCCCATCATTTTAACGCTTTCCTCCCCAGCCTTATTGTCCCTGGGCCCACCCCTTGCATTAATTGGATTTTAATTATTTCAATCACGGAGGCTCAACATCACATGTAGTCATTACCAACAGCGGTCTGTATACAAATACAGTCTATCTAGATACTTCCCCTTCCTCAGACTGACATTCACCCATTAAGGAATTTTTATATTTGCAAAGCTCCTCCCAAGAACCAAACCCACTGCTTGCATCAGGGCTGAGAGCTCTCAAGAGTGGTTCTGAGTGCTGCTATGTAAAGCACATTGCTGTCCCCTCCCACCAGCCATGATCTGTCTATAGTGATTAGAAATGTAGTTATGACAGTAAGGCTTCCAAGTGGGCATCTCAAAAAAATCAAAAAGAAAAGTGCTAGTTTTGAATAGAGTAGATTTCTGCACACATCCTGTATTTTAAGTCAGTGGAAACCAATAAAAAGAGGGAAAACTGCCGTTTTTGAGAGTTGTCATTGGAACATGTGTCCCAAGATTTCCTCTGCCTCTAGGGCATCTGTATAATGTACATTGCCCAGCAGTATATATTCCAGAACAAATAGTGAGGGTGATTCTCCCTAGTGGGGACAAAGCAATAAAAAAAAAAAAATCTAACATAGCTTCCAGCTCTCTCCTACTCATAAAAACAAAATTAGGCTAGGGATCACTTTAAGTGAAAAAATCCTAATCCAAAAAAGCATATCAGAACCAGAAACTATTGGAGTCCCTAAGAGATACCAGCTACAACTGAAATGCCACTTTTCCATAGCTACTGTACTCTTATGTAAAAGTTAAAAACTTTAAAAAAACACAAACAAAAATGAACATGAAAAAGCCAAACTTCACAAAGGGAACTTCAAATCCTTCCTAGATTTCCGTGGGTGGCACCCATGCTGCAGGAAATGGGTACAGATTGGACTTTTTATATAGCAAACAAAAACAGAGGTCTTACTTTGTTACAACAAGTCTGTTCTTTCTCATGCTTTCAACTCCGGGCTTCTCTCTTTCAGGTTCTCCTTTCTTTCCCGTCTGCTTTTTTGACTTTTTATTTACTGCTTGACTGATTGTTTTGGCACAATGTTTTGGCAGTAGCTACAGCCGAATAATAAAAATAATTAAGAAGGATCCTCAAAAGCAAAAGACAACTAGAAAAACGACTCAGGAGAGCATTCTACCCTTCCCAGCATCACTTTTAAAATGTGAACAGATCACAAAATGTAATACATAGGAAATAATAAAACGACAAAAATACAACTGGTGTCTCATGATTTATGTTGAGTTGCACATAGTAGACACAGTCATGACTGTCCTTCACTCAAACTCATCACTTTATCTTTACAATGAATGGAACTATCCAGTTATGCCCCCTAAAGGAAACCAATAAATATCCGAAAATACAGAATACACAATGATCACTACAGCATCTGCATTCTTTGTGACTGATGGGTCCTCTTATCACACCAACTATTGGCGTGTGTCAAATATGCAAAAACTGCACGTGAGGGGCTGCAAGGTGGTATGACTCATCTCCCATCTAAATTAGTTCTTAATTTCCTTACCAAACATATGATTTGAACATTAATTTAGGAGCAGAGAAATGACAGTATGAAACAATAAAAACAAACCTTTAGACATCTGCCCTCCCCTGCTGCCTCTACCCAAACAGCCAATCATTGTTCATGCCTGGGCTCAGTTTTTACAACCCACTGTCCAGAAAGCACAGGCCGCCGATCCCCTGAGGAACACCAACGCTGCTACTAATTAACACATTGTGCCTGCACCTTCAATCGCTGTTCAAGGTGCCTGAAAACCAATGCAACTATCAACCTATTGAATGACAATAACTATACAATAAGAACATCCCCATGTGCCAAAGCTTGGGCCTGGCTATGTACGAGTGCAAAAATATGGGAGGCAGTGGGGGTATTCCCCCCCAAATTGAGAATATTTACTGGGCAGCACTGGAAAAAGGTAAAACAGGTAACTTATGGGGCTTACTACTGAACCATGCTGAACCATGCTGAACTGTTACCTGCCTTACTTGCAGCTCAGTACAGTCTCTGCATGGGTCAGAATGTAGACTGATAAATGTTTTTCTGGTGTTTATTTGTGAGGTTCGCGGTCACGGAAACTTCTAGTGGCTAAATTACTGGACTAAATAATGTTAAAAGTAGAACAAAGTCTAAAACTATAGATATGACTACCTGTCATTCTCTTTCATCACCTACAGAATTTTTTTAAGGGCATGTATATAGCTAATAAATGTTGCAAAATATTTCAAAGTTACAGCGAGTGTGATATGGCAGATTTATTTCCATATTTACCTGATCGCTCAGAGTGCACTGCTCTGTGCAGATGTCTGTGATGAGATTGCGGGCTTGCTTTGCCATTTCATCCAAGAACATGTTACATAAAGATAGGCTACGATCTCCAATGTGATGTCTCTAAAAAGACAAAGAGAAGGACAGTGGGGGTAATGAATTGACCAATTAATGAAGGAGATCTACTAAATTACCGGCAACATAAAAACATCTATTGCTTTGTAACATTTTTGTATATATTTAAATAGGTAAGCCGTATTATAGTCCAGTAGACGAGATATAAAAAAAAACCCCAAAACAGTATTGCAGTATGCAACGAGGCCTCTCCTATTGGTCTAACATAATATTGAAAGGACAAGCTTCTGACCTGAAGGAGAGGTTAACTCTCGAAAGCTTTGTCTTTTTAATATTAGGTTAGTCCAATCAGAAAAAAAATTACTTTGTCACTGTGTCTTACTTTAACACGGGAAAATACAGTATCCTGAAAAAAAATTCAAAAAAATACATTGGAAACCCATTATGCCTAGATATGAATCTTTTATGCCTTGAAATGGAAATGATAAATCTTTAAAAGTTGTCCTCCAAGAAAAACATCATTGGCAGCTGTGCAGAATCCAACCGATGCTGAGAGTTGAAATTTTAAAATAACTTAAACCTGCATAAGACATTTTGCCTGCTTCAAAGAGAGAGATTTTCACAAAAGGCTTAAAGAGGAACTTTCATAAAACATTAAACCGTAGTATGTACCTAGGCAGCATTCATGATACCCAAAAGCACTTCAGTGCAATAAAAGCCGATCTATTCATACCCATCAGCTGGGCAACATCAACCCCCTGAGACTCCGTATCAATGAATCAACTGCAATAAGGAGCCAAGATCTGATGTAAAAGCATGACACAGGCTTAAATGCAAGGGAGTCTCTTACAGTCCATTGAATGACTGCCTTTGGCAAGGAGGAGTCAACTGGGTCCCATCTCAGCATTGAATCAAAGTGCAATCGTGAGATGGTCAGAGGGAGAAAACAGTGCTCCAATAGTATAAAACAAAGTAAGTGGATATTGTGTATCTTTCAATAATGTTACTGTGAAGAATAATGGTTGCACAGTGTCAATAGCTGCAATGCTTCACAGGCAGGAATAGCTGCACATTCCACCTTAAAAGGACAACTTTAAATGGTTTTCCGACAAATTAACCTTTTAGATTTAAAACCGGTCTTTTAAATTATTACTCTCTCAGCTGGGTATGCTCTGAATTGCAAATTAGGGATGTGAGGCAAACCAAGTTAGCCCAAGCCTACGCAAGACTGTCCGTGACCCATTCCCCTCCTTGCAAAATCAGCTCTGGCATTCCCTGCCTTACAGTTACACATACCGGAGGGCCAGGGAATGCCCCTGACAGGGCCTAGAGGGGGATCGGGCAATTACAGTTTTGCACAGTATGCACATCCCTAGTGCAGATATAAAATTTCAGCCCATCACAGCAAAGCAGTAGAATTAAACAAAAGGTGATAGAGGGGTGACTTAACAGTTCCACCTTCACAATGCAGCTGACCAATATGAAATATTCTTTAAGAAGAATAAAATATTTTTAAATGCATACTTTCAGCCGAGAAAATAAAAATATACACAAAAAAGCTATACAAGGGGGTCAACGCTTCAACTACAATAGCAAGTTGATTCAAGAAAAGTGAATAGGTCACTTGCCTTGAAACAAATTGGTGTTGACAAATTAAATTCATTAACGCATTGAAATCCCTATGGTAAATCCTGTTAGCAGTTATTAATATGCACTATTATAAGAACAACTAGTGCATGCTTAATTTAATCCCCTTTATGGGGTTTTTCCTTGGAAATCAACACTAGGAATTTTCTAAGAGGAGAGGAGCGTACTGGGAACACCTCAACATTATGCTGCTTCTCCATATACAATAGACGCCCCATTATCCAGGCTTCAATCAACCCGCACAAAAAAAAGGAAGAACAAAAATCGATTTTGTTCTTTTTTGCCAATTGCTTAATAGACATGGGGACACTACAAATTTCATTAGCAACTAAAATGTATCTAGTTGCTAACAAAATTCGTTTACATCTTGCTGCCGGCCGGTGGCTAGATTCTGCAGTCTGCAGCAGAATGTAAACAATGGGGAGCAAAAAAGTCAGCTTGCTATCAAATATTTCAAGTTGAAATAGCAGGCTGGCTATTGTACATGCCCACTGAGCAGAGTGAGAGCCACCATGGGGGGGGCTTGTTTGAGAGTTTCTATTAACTGGGGAGAAACAGGACCTATATTATAGGTCAGAACATTGAAACTTGAAGATGGAATTAAACATCAGGTTTTACCTTTTCTTTAATTGTCTCTTTATTAAGCGACAGCTGGACAATCACTGCTGTAGCTAAATAGCCAGAGTCAAAGACTTTGCACTCTTGCAAGGACTCAAGACCATAGCAAGAAGCAGAATATGAAAACAGTGCATCTCAAACAAATTACCTCTTCAGGACAAAGCTCGTGAGTGCAGCTCATAAAATGAGTACAAATGAGAGGAAAGGAGATCGAGTATCTTGACTGGGATGGCAGTTCCAAACACTGCTGAAACATCTTCTCAAATGCCCGACTGTAAAAACTAAACAAAAAAACAGTACACTATTTAGGATAAAAATATACACGAATGCTAAATTTAACAAGCACAATGAGTTAAAAAAAAACCTGACATTATAGCTTAGAGATGGAAGAAAAACACATTCTAACTAAAATAGTAATTGAGTGAAGGTATGCATGTGACAAAGCTGATCTAAACCTGCCAGCTATGCAGAGTTGGGCAGATTTCTCCCTCTCTTCTGTTGCCTTTAAGTAGGGTACACACAGTTGGAATTTTCAAAGAACTAAATGGATTTCAGGACATTAGTTAGATTTTCTTATCATTTGTTGTGAAATTAGAACATTTTTCTCGATTGCACGAAATTCTAACAGTGAATGTGTCTTTCGTTTCATTCCCATCCCAAATGTTAAATAACGAAAATCAAAAGGAAATTTTAAATGACAATCACCAAGCCTCTGATGGTATTATCGAACATTCCGACTGGATATTTCTTGTCCTTTGGCTAGAGTTGGACCTTAAGATGTACTATTCATTTAAGATGAACAAAATAATGCTCCGCAAAACAGCCCCAATAAATTCACAAAAACTAGTAACTATTGAGATATATCTATCGATAGATATATCTATATAGATACAGGGCTGTGTGCAGATCTCCCGATACCTCAGGCAGCTGCTTTTGTTTAAAAATGTAAGGAGCTAGTATCTGTGTCGCGTCATCCCTAAAATAAAAACATATACATTATATATATCTATATCTATATCTATCTATCTATATCTATCTATCTATATCTATATCTATCTATCTATATCTATCTATCTATATCTATAATCTATATCTATCTATCTATCTATCTATCTATCTTAGATACTGGCTCCTTACATTTTTAAACAAACGCAGCTGCCTGAGGTCCCGGGAGATCTGCACACAGCCCCTTATAATTGCTATAATCATGAAGTGATGGGATCTGTAGTCTATTGCTGGTTGCTATTCTCCATTGCTGAATAATCATGCATTGCTGAGATTTGTAGTCCTCTATAGCCGGTTGCCATTCTCATTTGATGTATAATCAATGATTATACAGCAACAGAAAATGGCAACCAGCTATGAAGGAATACAAATCTCAGCAATCCATGATTGCTGGTTGAAAATGATATATATCTCCAGGCCAAGCAAATATTTTTCTAGTCTTTCTAATAGTAGAAGTGTTAAGTCTCTAATAGTGTAATAAAAAGGACAAAAACGGCCCATCCAAACAGCCATTAATAAGTCATCTCACAAGACACTCTGGTAGAAAAAGCCAGGGCTCAAGATAGCAGCAGAAAAAAACATTTTAGAGGCTATTTTGTAAAGTCAGTTGCAGATATATGAAAAATAAACTTCTGAATATGTGGGCTGCCACTGCTGCTCCTACTGGAAATGCTAGGTGCCTGGGTGTCATGTTGATCCATCAGTGCCTACATTGGTACTTTATGAGTCATTGTTTTGAATAGGCAGATCAGGGGTTCTGACTATACCATTAGTGGCCTTATACTTGTTCTGTATCAGAGACTCGATGAGACTGTGACCAGGCTATGGACATTTCAAATATTTACATATTTCTAAAAGGGTATAAATGAGGGGGAGCACAGTGAGCTGGTCTTAGAAACAATTGCTTCACAGTATCTACTGCTTGAGAAAGAATTGTTCCACAATGCCCGTTGCTAAAAAAGGCAGTAAGGGACATTCTAAACCGTATTTACAGCTTGTTAGAAATAAACATCTAAAAAAAAGTCTATGGCCTTGCCAATGGTTAAGCCAAAGGCAACTATGGAACCCGAGAAGATCAGCAATAGCAGCACAAGTATGTCTCTTAAATACATATGAATCAATAAATATGAACATTACAATAATTCATAAAAAAAACCTCAGACAAAACGTTCCTACACAATTTGTCAACCTATAAACTGTGAATGACAAACAGAAAAAAAAAAAAAAGTTGACTATAGAATCTTACCAGAATATAGACAAATCAGATGTTTCCACCAACATTTCCACTAAGGAGTCCACCATTTTTGTGTGGAATATTATAGTGTTCATCATCTTTCCAAGTTCCCTGTGGTCTGCAAGGCTTAATGAAGCTTTGGAAACACTGGTGTAGGCCTAGAACAGTAAAGTAACATAAGACATTTTAAGACATGAACGTTAAATTCGCATGACAAATTGACAAGAAAGTATCCTATTTAATAACATCTCTAAAATATAAGAAACATCTCATAACAACCAAAGTGCTAGTTGACTGCAGGAGTCAGGAGCTGACAGAAAAACAGTTCTTATTGAAGCTGATGAATTAGACTCGCTGTATTGCACAGCCATGTTTTGGTATACAGAACAGTCCTGTTGGAGGATTTCATCAATATTAAAAACATATGCTGTAGCAGCACCAACGATATATATGCACGAGGCACCAATCATTACGAGCTGCTCTCGGAGCTTGGTCACATCCGTAGAGTTGTATCTTTTTGCACACCACCGCACGTACATGGTGTGAACAGGACACAGAAAATATTGGCTATGTGCCCTGCTCACACCATACACGTGCGGTAGGGGTACAGAAAACAGCACCAAAAACAGACGTGTGAAAAATCCCATAAACCTTTATTTTATATCAAACTTTTCCATAGTTAAAAGAATACATCGATCAGCCATAACATTATGACCACTGAAAGGTGAAGTGAATAACGTTGATTTTACAATGGCACCTGGAAATGAGTGGGATATGTTAGGCAGCAAATTAACATTTTGTTCCTGAAGTTGATATGTGGGAAACAGAAAAAACGAGCAAGCATAATGTGTTGAGTGTTCCACCTTTTAATTTATCTATAAATTATGTGTAAAAATTTGAAATATCACAAACTGAATGCAGTGCCAGTGATCAAATCCTTATTGCAACTGTATACTTGAATACATGTCAATAAGGGGAATAGGTTCGTGCCTAATTAAATATTAAATATTGGTTCAATATGGTGATAGGTGATTGTAAATATGAAAAATGAAATAAATATATATTGTCGTGTGAAATAAGTTATTTGTAAGAAATAAATTATATTATAAAAACTAGTATGAAATCTAGCTTAAACGAGTGAATTTCTTCCGTCTGACATTCAATACTGATAGTACTTGTAAACCAACCGAAGGCTACAAGCCAGTGTGCAAAAAAATCCTTATAAAAACCACATCTACTAATATAAAAGTGAATATAAAAAGCGGGGGTTATGGACAGCAAAATTCTATTATCCTCCAAACGGCGTTGGAAATCCAGGGGATGAAAGAAGGAAGAGAAGAGACAGCAAAAAAGGGATGGGCTCCCTATGTGTTCCAAAGTGCGTTTAAGTATAATGTAATGGCATAAACATCCTAATCCTGAGGCCACTTTGTGTCAATGAACAGTATCTTTATGTAGACCGGATTCTGCAAAGAAGCAAGGTCTTTCGATCAAAGGGCAAAGGAGTTTAAGAAGCAGAGGTTAGGCAAATGATACCAAGTGTTTTTTACTTGTAGTTCCGTTGATGAGTCCGCAGAGGGAAAACACTTCTATAATAGTCTCTCTCCCCTCTCCTGCCGTTAGCTTGTACTCCCTCTCAGCGGCGGTGTTTGGACAATGATTTGAGTGACTTTGACAAGGGCCAAATTGTGTGGCTGGATGACTGGATCAGAGCAACTCAAAAATTGCAACTCTTGTGGGATGTTCACGGTCTGCAGTGGTCAGAACCTAGCAAAAGTAGTCCAAAGAAGGAAAACTGGTGAACTGGTGTCAGGGTAATGGACAGCCAAGAAACACCGATGCACTTGGAGGAGTGCGAAAGCTGGACCATGTAGTCCGATCCAATAGAAGAGCTATTGTAGCTCAAATTGCTGAAAAATGAATGCTGGTTCAGATAGGTGTCTGAACACTGTGCAGTGCGACGATTGGGGGCCGCGTACAGGGTCCCCTCATCAGGCTCAATATATTATGAAAGGACCCTGTGCTACCACTGCTAAAAAGAGCCTACATTGGGCACGTGAGCATCAGAATTGGACCACGGAGGTACAATCCATGGAGGCCCCAGCTCGTAACTTACAGGAATTAAAGGATCTGCTACTGATGGCTTGGTGCCAGATACCACAGCATACCTTCAGAGGTCTAGTGGAGTCCATGCCTCCACAGGTCAGGGCTGTTTTGGCAGTGAAAGGGGGACCTGCTTAATATTAGGCAGGCGGTCATAATGTTATGGCTGATTAGTGTATATAGGTGTACCTAAAGAACAGGTTGTAGAAAAATTAACCCCCACACTGCAAGGGTTAACAGCTTGTTTTTCTCTAGGGGCTCAAATGAAGAAATACTCCATCCTGCTGCCTGCTAGACTGGTCCCTGCGGCCCCTTTCTTCCCCGGGCTTTGCTGGTCTAATCCCCGCGTCTAATACAGTCCATTCACCTGTATCAGATAAGAGGATGCTGAGAGACATACTACAGTTGGAGAGGAGGGGGAGAGATGTCAGCAGTCACTACTGCAGGACTGAGAATCAGGCGAGTAGATCATCTTTATTTGAGCCCCTAGTGAAAAATGAGCCATTAACCCTTGCAGTGCAAGGGTAGCCCCACTGCAAGAATTCATTCTTCTGCAACCTGGAGTAAATAGATATATTAGTCCACATTACAAAAATAGGCCAATTTTCAAAAGCAGATTAACTGCACAAAATACACATCTACAAAAGTGTGGCATTCAGTTAAAGGAGAATTATGGGGTGAGTGAATCACACTCAACCCCATAGTTAGAGCCAACATTGAAACTGTCACACATGCTCTAGATAGGCAGAGCACGCTGTCAGCCAGTTGGATAGAGCGACAGTATTGTGGGGATCCGTCCTGGCTGCAGTGCTCTCAGCAGCCTGCTATATGCAGAGTTTTGGGTCACGGGAGGACGTAGTAGATGTTCTGCGGCAGGACTATGGTGAGAAATAAACATCACCCCATTGTTCTGCTTTAAGGCATCTCAAACCCTCACTCCATCAGCATTTACCCTATTCTATTCATGCAATTTCAGATGCTTCTATTAGGACTGGATACACAGCCCAGGATCCCAGCTTATGCCACATTCCAACTTCTGGCTAAAGTTATTTGCGCTACAGTTTGTGCACCAGGCCTTAGGAGCAGGGACTCAACCTCATGTGGTACTCCTTTATGCATGGATTTAAAAATAAGTATATAAAAAAAGAATGAACAAATTTCACCAATTTGTGTCCAGTCCCCAAGTAAAAGAAAAAGCGGTATGGGGGGGGGGGTCCTGTTGTTGTTAACAAGGGTGCTGAAGAGTGATGAGACCAAGTTACTATGCTTTACATGAATTTAAGCAATTTTTAAAGAATTTTCTGGTAAACCAATTTTGAATGGCATCTTCTAACAATTGCCCCTGGCATATGGGTATGAATGTGGTAGGGACATCAAACTGCCTACTCATTTCAGGTGCAGAGACAGATGTTCAATTTGTTACCGATAATTTTTTTTTTTTTTTACAAAAATGCAGAAAAAAAACATTGCTTAGCCAGTTTATATAAAAATTGCCAAAAAACAGAATATCTTAACATCCAATTCATCAGCTTGCTCTACCAGATGCGTTTCCACACCACTGCTCTCCAGCAGCCGCAACCATACTGTACAAAACTAAGAAACCTTGAGATTTGAATTCTGGGGGATTAAAGTGCCATTGTTCAAAGGATAAAGCTCAGATTTTTTTTAAAGCAGCTTAAAGAGAAGTTTGGCAGACACTTCTGATGAAAATTCCTCGGCTTTAAGTTCCTCTGTATTTCATCTTGGGCAGCTATGAATCTGTTAAAATGATCTGTGTGGATTTCCATGACTCAATCTGAGTGGGATGTTAAGGTTTGTCAGCACATCTTTTGAAGCATGGTTTCACCATTATCTCAAAACAAAGACAAAACGCCAAGATAGCTTGACTTTAAAGTGGTTCATTTTTTCCCTCCTTGAAAGAGGACCAAGAAAAGGCCAGCTTGTTTTATTTGAAACCATTATGCATTTTGATGCATAGCCTCCTGGCTTCCAAGCCAAAAATAATACAAGCGGAAGCCATTCTGCAATCATCAAAGCGTTCTCAGGTCAGAAGAGACAAAGTGCTATTCAGCTACTGTTGCACAGATGTTAGTGCAATTCTTATATCCAGTATCCAGCCAACAGATCTCTGCCTCCAAATCTGGCAAGTAATTTAATGTCTCAGTTGTCTATTTAATGCTGTAATTCACTTTCATTACGTGTAAAATATTTTTCTCAAGAAGACCAAGCAAAGAAAAAAGATCAAACCTTACATCAGTATGTGTCAAGTGGATTTTTGGCAAGGCAAGTATTTTCCTTGAATAGGTTGTGCTGAAGAGCGGATACCAGGAATTAAGGAATATCTGGTTTCCCTATATCACCACTAAAGTAACAATTTCAGTATATAAAAGAAAGGAATCCATCTACACTCAATAGGATTACATAAAAAAATGTTAGCCATCGATTTATTGAGATCTACTACATTTTTCTTACATATATTTCCTATTATACTATTCACTCATTAAAAGATGTACAAGGTTTAGGTAAGCATCACCCTCTTATCTTGGGGTCTATAAAAGGGAGGGGATATTTCCACAGTAATACCAGCTCTGGTTGATATGTATGATGGCTTACCTTTGTGTTCACCAGCTTCCCCCACCTGATGTAAGGATAGGTACCCCATGAAAGTGGAACCAGATTTCATTCCAACCACAACTTTATTAAAAGGAGAACTATGGGGTTAGGGCTTTTCCCCATAGTTCTCCTAAGGGTAACGGGAGGACACAAACTAGCGTCCTCCCGTCACCCTAAGCTCAGTATACTGCGAGCTACAGCTCGTGGTATACGGAGACGCCACAGCTGAAACGGATCCCAACAATTATGTCTGGATCGAGAAGGTATGTGTTCGCTCACTTCCCGATCTACTGAGCCGACCTGTGACAGTCTCATTGTCACAGGTCGGCTAGAACTATGAGGTGAGTGAAAAGCACTCACCTCATAGTTCTCCTTTAAAAGGAGCCATCTGGTCTGTGAAAGCCTTGGGTTTGTGCAATGACAGATGCTGAAGGTTGTATAA